TTGGAGAAATTGTGATATTATTAACCAAATACTGACTTTCCTGTCTTTGTTATTATGTGTTTATGGTGTATAACCCTAACAGCCCTATATATGTTTAATAATGACTGACTATCTGCACCCCAGTTATTTCCAGCCAAGCCTTTAGTAGATTTATAACTTTCTTACATTTAGTTTCCAGATTCTCTATATGTGTTTTCCATGTATATCATTGATCCAACCATATTCCCAGATATTTAAATTCTGTTACCCTTTCCAACGGCTGTTCATGTTATTGTTCCTATATCAATCCATCCTTCTCCCTAATGGGGTCAGGAGGTGCTGGTGCCTCTCCAGCAGCGTTCCAGGTGAGAAGCGGGTCACCCTGGACAGGTCACCAGTCTGTTGCAGGGCAACAGGACAAACAACCACACACTCACTCACACCTAGGGAGAATTTGGGAAAGCCAATTCACCTGACAGTCATGTTTTTGGACTGTGGGAGGAAGCCGGAGAACCCAGGGAGAACCCGCCATGCACAGGGAGAACATGGAAACTCCGTGCAGAAAGCCCCCGGGCTGGGAATCGAACCCAGGACCTTCTTGCTGCAAGGCAACAGCGCTACCCACTGCGCCACTGTGCAGCCCCTCCTATATCAATATTTTTCTGATTTGTAAAAACCATATAACAAGATTTACTTGTTGATAATTTAAAACCCCATTCATTTTTCTACTTTAATTGTTTTCTTAATGTTTCCTACCACATGTCTTGTATTCTTTCCTCTTATCCATATAACCCCATCATCAGCATATAATGCAGATTTTACACATTCTTCTGTTTCAGAAAAGATATAATTTATCATATTAAATAGTATTGGGCTAATTGCACTGCCTTGTGGAATTCCATTTTTAACGTTAAATTCTTTTGAGTAATCATTTCCAATCTTCTCTCTTATTTTTCTATCCCACAAAAAATTCCAATTAACATCTTCCCACCTATTCCCATCTGCTTAATTTTTATAAGTAGACCTTCTCTCCATAATGAATCATAAGCTTTTTCTATATAAAAAAATCATACTCTCTTTCATTTTTAAAACTTTCTCTATATCATTACTGACTCTAGTTATTGCATCCATTGTTGATCTCCCTTTCCTAAATACACACTGATTTTCATTAATTAATATTTTATGATCAAGAGTAAATTCTAATCTATTAGCTATTATTTTCTCCATCCACTTACTTAAATGTGAAGTTAATGCTATTGGTCTATAATTGTTTGGATTTATAGGATCTTTCCCTGGTTTATTAAACGGTAGGATTATTGCCCTCTTCCAGCTATTTGGTATTAAACCTTCTTTCCATATTTTATTAAACAGTTTTAATATTAATTCTAATGTTACTTCAGGAACCTGTTTAAACATAGCATAGCACAGCTGATTCTCCCCAGGAGCTGAATATCCTGTCCCTTTCAATATTGTTTTCATTTCTTTCATAGTTATATTCATGTCTAATATGTTTGACTTTTTTCCAATATATTTTTATGCTTACCAAGTTTTTGAATCTTCTGTTGTTTATGAATGTCTGTAAGATGTTCTCCACTATGCACTGCAGCAAATGACTCACCCAACAAATCTGCCTTATCTTTATTTAACACTACTACTTCCTGGCATTTTAACATCACTCCTTTTCCCAATCATTTTCCTAAACATTGACCAAACATTTTGCAATTTTATTTCTGATCCTATTGAGGAACAATATACTCTCCACATTTTCTTTTTAACTTTCTTAACGGTTTTACGAGCCACTGCTCTTTTCTTTTTATAATCCATAAGATTATAAAAAGAAAATGAATTTTTCTGCAGTATTTTAAATGCCCTGTTACGATCTTTAACCGCTCTGGTACAAATCATCATTCCACCACGGAACTACTTTTTCTTCACTTTAATTATTATTTTTGGTATACTTGAATTTGCAGCATTTAAAATATATTTTGTTATCTGTTAAGAATAAAAAGAGGAATAACTTGATTTAGCTCGTTAATTCATTCCTCTGATCCCGGATTCTTGTGCCTCAATATGCGCAGTGAGAAAGAACAATCATACGACGTCAGACTTCAGATATTCTGAGAAAATCAATGCAAGAAGAATGTCACAATAAGCATCTCACCTAGATTATCAAAAGTCCAAGACATGACAAAACAGAAACAATTACACGAGTTGAAAGTAAAGACAGAAAAATGCATTTTTCCTGAAATTGCGAACTCGGGCAGAAAGCAATTCGAATTCTTTGTTGCAAACGAAAACTTTTATAAGCCTGTGCCTTTCTCTAAATTTAAATTAGGAGGTGTGTTTTTCCTTTGTGTGGGCTGTCTTAATGTGTATTTTATTACCTCTGAGACCTACTGAAACACCAAGCTCTTCTCGTACCAGCCTCTTGGACAGACTGTGATTTACGGCGTGCAGCTGGAGCGTTATCTCTGCCTCAAAATCATTCAACAAGAAACCAGTTGGTATTTAAAACAAACTCGCACAAAATGTATTGCTTAATACTAACTATAAGTTTGGATCTAAAACTAACTAATTAAAAACATGCTTTTTCATGCTTAAAGAAATATATTAATATGTTTGATTATATGTTGTAACGGACTTCTATAGTTTTTAATGTTTGCCTGAACTATTCAACCCTGAGTAAAGAATTTATTGCCCTGATAGCCAATACACTCCCTGTCTGAAACGCTCCTTAGGGAGTATAAGACTGCTTTCTGATTAGAAATTTATGTAAGTTCAGAGAATCACCATCTGCCCCAGCCTGGATCTTTATCTAAGTTTGTCTTAAAGGTTAGCCTGTGTACTATTGTGCTGATTTAAAATTCTATTTCAACATTATCTGGCTTGTACATTCTTCTATATTGCCTTTTAATGTAACCAAATGTCTGCTTTTCTCCCTATTTACTTTAAATTTTTACCATTCAGCTTTATTAAAAACATCTGGTGATTATGACATCTTCATGCCTCTTTATATTATCATTAATTATTGTACTCACTGGAAAGTGATCACTCTATTGTAGATTCCCTGTTGACGTCCCATTCACATGAACCTACAAGACAGTTAGATACTAATGTAATATCAATTCAATCTGGAGAGACTCAGACACAGAAAGAAAGCGATTAGAAAAGTTTATTGACAGCATAAATTAAGTCTTTGGCGCTCGGGCCCCGGCTAAGGACATCGAGCTGATGCGATAAGCTCGGATGAGCATTCCCGATGCTGATAGGAATGTCATCCCCCGGGACCCGATCCTGGTGGTGGAGGTCGGTGAATGAAGTATGCCTGGGAGCCTGGACGGTGGAGGTGGAGAAGGGGTGGTGGTGGGTTGAGCACAGCTGCGAAGTGGAAGACGCCTTGGATGGACGTCCTTGTCAGCTGGGGCATGGTCGGTGATTGGCTGCGACGTGGCTTGGTCCAGCGCTGATTGGTCGGTGATTGGCTGCGACGTGGCTTGGTCCAGCGCTGATTGGTCGGTGATTGGCTGCGACGTGGCTTGGTCCAGCGCTGATTGGTCGGTGATTGGCTGCGACGTGGCTTGATCCAGCGCTGATTGGTCGTCAGTGATTAGCGGGATGCGCCGATTGAATGATGCAGGTGGAGCTAAAGAGTCTTCCAGTTTGAATTTGCGCCTAGGCTTCATGACATTGTACTTTTATGTATATTTACTCTGGTACATTTTCAATTGTTAAGACAAACTAATGACCTTTCATCCATTATTTCTTCAATTATCTATTCAGGAAGAATTGTTCTTCCTGAATAGATAAATCTCTCTGTTTCCATTTATTTAAATGAGTTTTACATATTTGAAGTTTCTCCCAAATATTCAGGTTTTCTAAATCAGATTTATTTTTATTTATTTGCACACCCAGATATCTGACATTGAATTTGACAGGAATATTAAAAGCAGTAGTTATAGGACAGTCTTTTAGAGGCAAAATGTCATTTGTTTAAATTTAAGACCTGAAGCCTTTGACAATGATTCAATCAATTTAATTGGGAATTTCATTGAGGTTATTCAAAAAGATGGTTGTGTCATCAGCCAGCTGACTAACAGAAAATGATTTCCTTCCACTGATAATTGACCAAATTGAGCATTTTTATCTGAAATGAAAGCATTTCTGCAGCAGCAATAAACAGCAGAGGAGATCAGAGAACCTTGTTTTATACCTCAGTTGATGCTGAATCTCTGAAGACTCACTGAACTGTTGGCATCTTTGTAGAATGTTTTCATTACATTAATGCATTTATTTCCAAACCCAAATAAACCTAAAGCTTTGAACATAAACTCATGTTCTATCATATCAAAGGCTTTATAAAGTCTACGAATAATACGAAGTGGTTTTAGTCGATTAAGTCCAAAATAAGGTGAATGTTATTAAGTATAGAGCCTTTTATAAATCCAGAGTGAGAGTCAGAAAAAATCTGGGATAATCCTGATTTAACCTGTTGACATAAATGTGTGTCAGAAGCTTGTAATCATTCTTTAATAATATTATTGATCTTAAATGATCAAGAAGAGTTGGATCTTTTCCAGGTTTGGGAAGGAGTGTGATGACACCTTGTTTCATAGTTAAACAGTTCAATAATCTGCCAAAGTAATACGTTCTTTATCTCATTGGCAAAATTGAATAAATACATTTTATAATATAGGGCTGATTAAAAAATATACTTTTTATAGTTTTGAAAATGTACATTTTTCTAAACACAAGCCAGTTTCTCTCTAATACAGTCTGAGAGTAATTTAGAGAAACAATGAAAATATATTTTTATATATAGCGTTATCCTTCCTTAAAATAGTTTTTATTGCTAAACTATATTAGGGATAAACTGGCTTGTTGTTATAAAAATTTACATTTTCACAGCTCAATACTAAACTCCAGTTCTGACTCTTATGGAGAATGAAGAGTGCCAAATGACAGCAAATAACTTACAAAGTTATTTATTAATTATTTTTAAAAAGAACAATGAAGCTTTCTGAAATACATTTTTAGTTATTTTTAATTAATTTATGCAAATATATGTGAACAGATCTGAATTAAAGATTCAGTTTGGATAAAATTTCAATGCAAATCATGAACTTTTTGTTGTTCTGATGTTTGTGAAAAAAAAAAACTTCATTCCTGGTCAAGATCCAGATACTTTTTCTTTTTTCAAACAACATCAGACACTAAATGACAGACATGAGGAAATAAACAGGAGGAAAACCTTTGAGGTCAGAGGTCATCATGATCCAGTCTCTTTAGACTCAAACTGCTGCAGCTTCAACCTGTGAGGATCAGCAGGACACAGAGACGTTCTCTACTTTAGAGAAAAAATGGTTTATTCCACCTGCAGAGAGAAGGAAGGAGAGCAGATCAGTGAGTGTTTCCAGTAGCAGTCAGTGACGCAGCACATGCAGTAGATGGTTTCCAGTCAGACTGATCTCAGAGCTGTGACCAAGATGAACCTGATCAGTTGTTTCCTGTTGAACTGAGAGAACAAGCAGGTCTGAGATCAGATCTGCTGCTGTTTGATGAATGAGGACCACTGTCTCTAGACATGTTGGACGGCTGGAGTCCAGCTGGACGTCCCGGAGACATGGACATGTAACCCACATAAAGTGGGGATAGCCTTTTGGGAAATAGAGATTGGGTAGGCGGGGTAGTCTGCCTGGCCAATGGGAAGTTTGATTCCCATGAATGTTTGGACCAATCAGAGAGCGGAATGCCACAGAGGCTCCACCTTCTTTCCCGTGTTGGCAGCATTGATTGTGAGCGGGAGATCCGACCCTGATCAGACAGCTGAGCCAGAGTGAGAGTCTTTTGGTTTCTTTCTAATATCATTTATTGACTTTGAAGGAATTTTTTTTTTGTAAATAGTTATTGTTTAAATCCAACTTATAAGTTAGAAAGAGTGATAAGTTTCAGAAAACTGAACTTCAGTTTTTCTGCTGTTAGAACCACTAAGATCAGTTGGAACTGTTGCACTTTCTGGCAGTTGATTGGCAGTTGTTTTCAGTTCAACTGAAGGTAAAGCCTATATAATAATGTATTTTTATTTTACTTAATTCATTTTCTTTAAGTTAAAACTTAAAAAATATGCATTTTACACTGTCTAGTGCCCTCCGTGTCTGGAATGAGAGTCCCTGTCTAGTTGTTTTTGAACGTGCCGCACTGAGATCGGTGAGCATATTTTGTACCTTTCATTTGGTTTTTGTTCTTTTATCTTGTTGTCAAATAATGATTTTTATTTGACCTACTTAGTTATTGAAACGTGAACCTTTGCTGAGTTTGTGTAAAATGTAATGTTTTATTATTGTTCTTGGAAAAGGATTTTTCAAACAGTTATGAAACATAATAAGCTAGAATGGTTTAATAATATTCTATGTTTCTGCTGGTCTTGTCTGTTGACAGATCAGGTTTTTTTTTTTTTTTTGTTGTGTTGTTTTTGTTTTTTTTTTTTGCTTTTTCTTCTCTTCTCCTGGATTGTTCCTGGAGTGGATTCCCCTACTGACTTTGATGGCGAGCCTTCCCACCTGGACTTAGAAAGATCTGGATTTCCTCCCATGTTGAGTGAGACCTGAACCAGGATTTAATTTGATTCATTTGTCATCTAAAAGAGATTAGAGCGCAAACTACCAGGGTGCACCCAATAGATTTAAATTTGATATTTAGCACTTGGCCAAGTATTGTTGTTTTTATTTCATGTATTTTATTGTGTGTAATTTTATTTTCTTAATTGTATGTCTTGTCCACTTGTGAGTTTATGATTCATGTTACTAAAGCTAATTGTTTTTTAAATTCACTCAACTGTGTATGTGTCATGTAAACACCCATCGTGCTCCGACAGCCGAACCTATTGGCCCATCTACCTAAAACATATTGTACCCTTCTCAACTGTGTTACAGACACAGCAACAACACAGCAAGCTGCTGCTCCTCTGATTGGCTGATTGCTGTGTCCAATCAGGAAGCCTGAACCATTCTCCTCCCACTGAGAAGCTGCAGCTTTACTGGGAACACTGGATCTTTGCTTTGATGCTGACTGGGTTTAGTTCAATATGCTGACAGCAGCTGGACTCACTGCAAACATTTACTTACTCTAAAGTCTCTACAAGATCCATCAGCTGCTGAACATCTGATTTCTCCAGGTTGTTTCCTGTCAGGTCCAGTTCTGTCAGACGGGTCGGGTTGGACTTCAGAGCTGAGACCAAATAATCACAGCTGATCTTTGACAAACTGCAGTCCTCCAACCTGAATAAAGAATAAAAGATGTGAACCAACAGGATGCAGGTTAACCAGTCCAACAGAACCAGTTAAAGATTCTCATGAATATTAATGCCAACAAGCTGCTGCTCCAATAAAGACCTGCTGACTTCAGAACCAGAACCAGAACCGAACCTGGTACTGGGTCATGATGTGTTGGAGGATTTTAGTCAATAAAATCATTCCAGGTTCTGATCAAAGTGTTGAAGCATCAATCATTGATTATTGATTGTTCCTGTCAGATTCCAGGAATTCACTTTTCTAGACTGGATGACCTTTGACCTGCTTGACCTGAGGGGGATTTCTACACACTGGGGTCCGAATGCTGTCCTGTTCTGACCTCAGATCAGCAGGTCCAACTCAGTTACACAGAGAAACTAAATTAAACTCTGGATCCAGGAACAAACTCAGAAATATTGATTAGATCAGAAGAAATGAACTTTGATTGATGATCAATTATATAGAATTATTCACAGAAATATCAATAATTATATCATTAAAATACCTCAATGTCTCCAGTCTGCAGCCTTCAGTTTGTAGAAAACCACAGAAATCCTTCAGTCCAGAACCTTCCAGGTTGGTTCTGTTCAGGTCCAGTTCTGTCAGATGGGTCGGGTTGGACTTCAGAGCTGAGAACAGAGACGTCCAGCTGGTCTCTGAGAAACTGCAGTCAATCAATCTGAATAAAGAATAAAAGATGTGAACCAACAGGATGCAGTTAAAACTGAAATATGAAGAAATAAATAATAAAATGTATAAATTAATTTCCCTGAATGTAAAAGAAACATGATGAAGTGATTCTAACATCTGATCCAGTCAAACTGGTTTAAAGAGTCCAAACCAGCAGAACCAGAACATTTGATCAACAAAGAAACTCAAAGTTTTCTATCAGTCTGGATGAGTTGAGCTATTTCTGCTGGTTCCTGATCATCAGACCCGACTTGGTAACTGGATCAGAACCAGTCAGGTTCTTCATTAATGGCCTTTGGGTTCCTATTAAAGCTGCTGAAAGCCAATGGAGGCCATTATTTCCTCAGGAGACGGTTCCTCTCTGACCCGGCCCAACAGAACCACAGCCTCAGGACAAAGCTGAGGAACCTGCTGCTGCTGCAAACCTCACTTTCATTCATTGCATCTAGATTTGCTTTTCTACAATCAGTGGTTTCTTAGACGTTCATTAATGAGGATTTGAACTCGTCAGTGTTTGTGGCTCTGGAGGATCAACATTTCATTCTGATGTAAAGAATCAGAAATAAAAGCATCTGAATCTTTACCAAACTGAAACATCTCCATCATTCATTCACAGCATTTCAATTATTTTACTCATTTTGTTCATCAAAAACATTTTAAAGAGAAAAACTGAAAAACAAAGTTCAATAATCTCAAAGTCTGAAATAAGAAAATAATTAATAAGGTCAAAAGTTTTAGAGATTTTATTCTGATGATTAAACAGGTTGTTTTAAAATAATATATATTAACATTAAATTGATTAACTATTGATTAAAGAGTCAATAAATGATTTTATTGAATAAATAGAGAAAACAAACCCCAGATTCTTCACTTTACTGACTGAATTCTCCAGGATCTCAACCAGATGATTCACATCAGATTCTCCAGCAATATATATTTCGATCTGATTTATTTCCAGTTCAGTCAGATCTGGGTTGGACTTCAGAGTCGAGGCCAAAACTTCACATTCAGCCTTTTGGAGCGAACAGCCACCAAGTCTGTGATTAGAGAAGAAATAAATTCAGTTCTAATGAAATCAAGCTGGATCATAACAGACTAAAATATGATAACAGTGATGTCATCATCTGATCATCATATGATCATCATCTGATCAATATCTACTGAGTTTGACCCCACAGAGAATCTGTGCAGTTCCTGGTTCTGGTCCAGGTTCTGGTTCTGGTCCAGGTTCTGGTTCTGGTCCAGGTTCTGGTTCTGGTTCTGGTTCTGGTTCTGGTCCAGGTTCTGGTTCTGGTTCTGGTCCAGGTTCTGGTTCTGGTTCTGGTCCAGGTTCTGGTTCCGGTTCAGGTTCTGGTTCTGGTTCTGGTCCAGGCTTCATGTCCTCAGACCTTCAGCTGCAGTCAGATGTTGAAGATCTTCTATCATCAGTGAAGGAAAGTTCAGTTTCTCTGCAGCAGCTGATGAAGAGGCTGACTGAGCTGAATGAAGGAAACGACTGGAGATGATGGAGAGGAGGAGGAACTGCTCACAGCTCTGACTTGGACTAGACCGTTTAGATCTTCCACCAAGCAGGAAGTGAGTTATAAATGAAGTGAGCAGAACAGGAAGTCCAGCTGCTGTGGACCTCTGGCATCTCTGGGTTTGTTGAGCCAATATCTGCTGCATCATCATGAATAATAGTAATATATTGTATAGAAACATGTTTCCCAGCAGCAGGTTATTAAATGCTGCCACAGAGGAAACTGGGAGCAGAACAAACACATGATGCTCCAGTTCTGTCTCCGTTCATCTGCTGGATTTGATGCTTTAACAAAGTAGAAAGTGGACAGTCGTCAACCTGCTGCAGCTAAAAGCTTCACGTTGTTCTGGTCGTCCTGCAGAGCAGCAGCAGAACCGGTCCTGCTGCTCTTTCGGGTCAGAACCGTCCTCTCAGACTGTGGATCTGAGAGGAACTGGGACAAACTGGTTGGAAGAGGGACACATGTCTCTGCAGTGGTCTGTCCATTGTCTCAGAGGAACAAAGGTTTGGATGTCAGGAGAAATTGTTGCTAAACTCCTAAAGAGCTGAAGAGCAAAACCCCTGGAGGAGACGGAGCGTTTGGGTCCAGCAGCATTTCATGGTGAAGCAGTGAAAGTTCTCCAGTAACTAGAAGAGGCTGGATGTCTCCAGAGTTGAAGCTCATGTCTCTGCAGGTCTTCATGGAGGACACCTAACAGCTTCAACAAAAGGCTGCAGATGAAGAGTTGATGAGGAAAATGGTTCCAGCTCTGGAAGCAGATTCTCAGAGCTTTGGGAGGATCTGACAGAAACTAAAACTTTTTCTGGAACCAGACGACAAAAACCACATTTTGGTCTCATTTACAAACTCAGAGGAAACTAGAGGGAGGAAGAGGATGATGAAGATCAACACTGTTCAATAGTTTATAATTAATGCAATGATTTTATTTTAATGGTCAACATTTTTATTAAACCCAACAATAATTTAATAAAAACATTCAAAGATCCTAAAATGTGAATGATGGAGCAGCGGCTCAATGAGTGAAGAGTTTAAAGTTTAAAAGTTTCTCTGGCTGATTGGATCTTAGAGAAAATAGATTATCTAGAGTTCAGGGTTTTCTATTCATTTCAACCTGAAAACTGATAAAAAGTTAAATATTTTTAAAATGATCAAAATGTCTAAAACCAGAAGCTGCATCTGTCCTGGATGAGCTGAATGTTTAGATGTTTGATTGGCTGAAATAATCCAGAGGATGAAGGAAGTAGATAAAGAGCAAAAACATCCAGAATCAACTTGAAGACAGAAGAAGAAACAGGAGGACAATAGAGCTGAATCAGCATCACACAATGAAAACATCTGGACTCACCGAGCCTTTCTGCAGTTCCTCACAGCTGGAACCAGTCTCAGTCGTCCTTTATCTGAGGTTTTGTACTTCTTCAGGTCCAACTCATCCAGAACCTCTGACATCTGCAGCATGAAGGCCAGAGCTGAACAGTCAGTCACTGAGAGATACTGCCCTGAATCCAGCAGCTGTTGGATCTCCTGATAAAATGAGACGTCGTTCATCTCCACCAGACAGTAGAAGATGTTGATGCTTCTGTCAGCAGAGATTCTATCAGTGTTCATCTCCTTCAGGTTGGTGATGATTCTCTGGATGGTTTCTGGACTGGTCTCTGTCTGACCCCAGCAGATCTTCTAAGACTCTCTGGTTGGACTCCACAGTGAGACCATGAAGGAAGCGGACAAACAGGTCCAGGTGGCCATTTTACTGCGGAGGGATTTCTCCATGACTTTCATCATGAACTCATCTAGAGATGTTTTCTCTGTATTCGTCTCCCAGGAACGTCTTGATCTCCTCTGACTTCCTGCTGGTGAGCAGTGGAGCATGTAGACTGCAGCCAGAAACTCCTGGATGCTCAGATGAACAAAGGAGTAGACGGAGACGTCGCGTGTCCCTCTCTCTCTTTTAAACATCTCAGTGAAAACTCCTGAGAACAACGCAGCATCTTGGATGTTGATGCCGCACTGTGTGAGCTCTTTGTCATAGAAGATCAGGTTTCCCTTCAGCAGCTGATCAAAAGCCAGTTTTCCTAGAGACTCAATCAGCTTCCTGTTCTCTGGACTCCAGATAGATTTGCTCTTTTTTCCTCCATCATATTTTTCCTCCTTGATGTTGAGTAGAACCAGCAGGAACTCTATGTACATCTCAGTCAGAGTCTTGGGTAGTTTCTCTCTCTCTCTGGTCTTCATCACATCCTCCAGAACTTTAGCAGTGATCCAGCAGAAGACGGGGATGTGACACATGATGTGGAGACTTTGGATTTCTGGATGTGGGAGATGATCCTGCTGGCCTTCTCTTCATCATCTCTGAATCTCTTCCTGAAGTATTCCTCCTTCTGGGGGTCAGTGAACCCTCTGACCTCTGTCACCATGTCAACACACTGAGCAGGAATCTGATTGGCTGCTGCAGGTCGTGTGGTTATCCAGAGGAGCAGAGGGAAGCAGTTTTCCTCCTGATGAGGTTTGTCAGCAGAACATCCAGTGAGGTTGACTTTTCAGGGTCAGTCAACATTGTAGTGTTGTAGAAATCCAGACTAAATCGACTTTCATCCAGACCATCAAAGATGAACAGAACCTGGAACGATTCAAAGTTTCTGATTCCTTTGGTTTTAGTGAATCGTTCATGAATCAGTTCTAATAAGCTGAACTTTTCTTCTTTCAGTAAATTCAGTTCTCTGAAGGTGAATGGAAATATGAAATCAATGTTCTGGTTGGTTTTGCCTTCAGCCCAGTCCAGAGTGAACTTCTGTGTTAACAGTTTTTTCCCAATGCCAGCCACGCCCATGGTCATCACTGTTCTGATTGGTTGATCTCCTCCAGGTGGGACTTTAAAGATGTCTTCTCTTCTGACTGTTTCTTGTTTCCTGGATGCTGTTTCAATGCGTCTGACCTCATGTTCCTGGTTGACCTCTCTAGTTGACCCCTCTGTGATGTAGAGCTCAGTGTCAATCTGGTTCAGATCGGTTTTATTTCCATGTTCAGCGAAGCCTTCAGAGAGACTCTGGAACATCATCTTCAAGACGCTTTAAGGTCAGGCTGATACAGACCAACAATATCTGGAAAAAGAAAGAAAATAAACTAAATAAAAACAATTACTGGACGAATAAAGTGGCCAGTTTGGTTCTTCTTCATAAACTTTGATGAAGAAAACATAATTCAATAATTAGATTAAACTCAATGAATGTTACTCCAATCTCAGGGCCGGCCCAAGGCATAAGCAGCTGCTTAGGTTTCACTCATGTTACCTTGTATGTTATTGCTGTGAGAAACAGTAACGGCTCAGTTTGTAGCTGAGGTCATTCATTTCCAGTTTTCCCCTAGAAATCTTGCTCAGCCTGGCGATCAGGGCGCCGAGGCATCCACCATGTTTTCATATATAAAGATGTTAAGTTGACAGGAAATGTAAAAATATCACTGAATAATTAAATGTTACAGACTCCTCGGGTTGCCCCCTTATCGTGGTGGAGGGGTTTGAGTGTCCCAATGAACCTAAGAGCTATGCTGTCAGGGGCTTCATGCCCCTGGTAGGGTCACCCAAGGCAGACAGGTCTTAGGGGAGGGACCAGACAAAGCGCAGCCCGAAGACCCCTATGATGTACACAAACTTTGGACCTAGTGTTCCCTCGCCCGGACGCGGGCCACGGGGGCTCCACTCTGGAGCCAGGCCTGGAGGTGGGGCACGATGTCGAGTGCCTGGTGGCTGGGCTTTTACCCATGGAGCCCGGCTGGGCCCAGCCCAAAGAGGAGACATGAGTCCCTCTTCCAATGGGTCCACCACCTATGAGAGGGGCCAAAGGGGTCGGGTGCAGTGTGTAATGGGTGGTGGCCGAGGGAGGGGGTCCTGGCGGTCCGATCCTCAGTTGCAGAAACTGGCTCTTGGGACATGGAATGTCACCTCTCTGGTGGGGAAGGAACCGGAGCTGGTGTGTGAGGTTGAGCGGTTCCGGCTAGAAATGGTCGGTCTCACCTCGATGCATGGCTCTGGTTCTGGAACCAGCCTCCTTGAGAGGGGCTGAATGTACTTCCACTCTGGAGTTGCCCACAGTGAGAGGCGTCGAGCAGGAGTGGGCAGACTTGTTGCTCCCCATCTCGGCGCCTGTACGCTGGGGTTTACCCCGGTAAACGAGAGGTAGCCTCCCTCCACCTACGGGTGGGGGGATGGTTCTGACTGGCGTTTGTGCTTACGGGCCGAATGACAGTTCAGCCTACCCACCCTTTTTGGAGTCCTTAGAGGGAGTATGAGGACTCCCTCATTCTCCTGGGGACTTCAACGCTCACGTGGGCAATGACAGTGAGACCTAGGGGCGTGGTTGGGAGGAACGCTCCCTCCGATCTGAACTCGAGTGGTGTTCTGTTGTGGGACTTCTGTGCTCATCACGAATTGTCCATAACGACACCATGTTCAGGCATAAGGGTGTCCATATGTGCACTTTGCACCAGGACACCGTAGGCCGCAGATCGATGATCGATTTTGTCATTGTTTCATCAGATCTGCGGCCGTATGTCTTGGACACTCGGTGAAGAGAGGTGCGGAGTTGTCCACTGACCACTACCTGGTGGTGAGTTGGCTCCGGTGGTGGGGGAGGATGCCAGTCAGACCTGGAAAGCCCAAACGTGTTGTGAAGGTCTGCTGGGAATGTCTGGCGGAGTCCCCTGTGAGATGGAGCTTTAACTCTCATCTCCAGCAGAGCTTCGAACACGTCCCAGGGGATGTTGGGGACATTGAGTCTGAGTGGACCATGTTCCGTACCTCCATTGTCGAGGCAGCTTATCGGAGCTGTGGTCGCAAGGTGCCTGTCGTGTGGCAACCCTCGAACCCGTTGGTGGACACCTTCGGTGAGGGATGCTGTCAGGCTGAAGAAGGAGTCCTATTGGGCCTTTTTGGCCTGGGGGACTCCGGAAGCAGCTGATGGGTACTGGGAGGGCGAAGCGGCTCTGGTGGTTGCAGAGGCAAAAACTCGGGCATGGGAGGAATTCGGAGAGGCCATGGAGAAAGACTTCCACATGGCTTCGAGGCGATTCTGGTCCACCATCCAGTGTCTCAGGAGGGGGAAGCAGTGTAGCACCAACACTGTTTACAGTGGGGGTGGTGTGCTGCTAACCTCGACTCGGGACGTTGTGGGCCGGTGGGCAGAATACTTTGAAGACCTCCTCAATCCCATCGACATGCCTTCCATTGAGGAAGCTGAGCCTGGGGACTCTGGGTTGGGCTCTCCAATCTCTGGGGACGAGGTGGTTAAAAAGCTCCTCGGTGGCCGAGACCCGAGGGTGGATGAGTTTCGCCCAGAGTTCCTTAAGGCTCTAGATGTTGTAGGGTTGTATTGGTTAACGCAACTCTGCAGTATCGCATGGACATCAGGGGCAGTACCCCTGGATTAGCAGACTGGGGTGGTGGTCCCCCTGTTTAAAAGGGGGATCGGAGGTGTGCTCCAATTATAGAGGGATCACACTCTTAAGCCTCCCTGGCAAGGTCTATTCAGGGGTACTGGAGAGGAGGGTCCGTCGGATAGTCAAACTTCGTATTTTGGAGGAGCAGTGGTTTTCGTCCTGATCGTGGAACACTGGATCAGCTCTACACCCTCAGCAGGTCCTGGAGGGTGCATAGGAGTTCGCCCAACCAGTCTACATGTGTTTTATGAACTTGGAGAAGGCGTTCGACTGTGTCCCTCGGGGTGCCCTGTGGTTCTCCTTGAGTTTGGGGTACCGGGCCCTTTGATACGGGCTGTCAGGTCCCTGTATGACTGGTGTCAGAGACTGGTCCGCATTGCTGGCAATAAGTCGGCTTGTTCCCGGAGGTTGGACTCTGCCAGGCTGCCCTTTGTCACCGATTCTGTTCATTTCTTTTATGGACAGAATTTCTAGGCGCAGCCAGGGTGTTGAGGGGATCCATTTTGGTTACTTTAGGATTGCATCTCTGCTTTTTGCAGATCATGTGGTCCTATTGGCTTCATTGGGATGTGATCTGCAGCTCTCGCTGGAGCAGTTCACAGCTGAGTGTGAAGCGGCCGGGATGAGGATCAGTGCCTCCAAGTCTGAGACCATGGTCTTGAATCAGAAAAGGGTAGAGTGCCTTCTCCGGGTCGAGGGAGATGTCCTGCCCCAAGTGGAGGAGTTCAAGTATCTTGGGATCTTGTTTCACGAATGAGGAAGAAAGGGAGGAGATCGACAGGCGGATTGGTGCAGCGTCCGCCGTGAAGCGGGCGCTGTACCGGTCCGTCATGGTGAAGAGATCTGAGCAAAAAGCGAAGCTCTCGATTTACCGGTCGATCTACGTTCCTACCCTCATCTATGGTCATGAGCTTTGGGTAATGACCAAAAGAACGAGATCGCCGATACAAGCAGCCAAAATGGGTTTTCTCCGTAGGGTGGCTGGGCTCTCCCTTAGAGATGGGGTGAGAAGCTCGGTTATCCGGGAGGGACTCAGAGAAGACCCTCTGCTCCTCCACATCGAGAGGAGCCAGTTGAGGCTCCGGCATCTGGTCAGGATGCCTCCTGGACACCTGCCTGGTGAGGTGTTTTGGGCACGTCCCACCGGTAGGAGGATCCGGGGAAGACCCAGGACACGCTGGAGGGACTATGTCTCTCGGCTGGCTTGGGAACTCCTCGGGATTCCCCCGGAGGAGCTGGAGGAAGTGGCTGGGGAGAGGGAAGACTGGGCCTCCCTCTTAAGCTGCTACCCGACCCGGATAAGCGGCAGAAGATGGATGAATGGATGGAAAACATTGCCAATGAAATGATATTTAAATCAGCAGCTATTAAAAACAACAAATGAAAAAAATTAAATGAAAGTGAATGTCAATTATTTGCGTTACTGTTAAATCCAATATAAGTCCATAAGGCCCCAAACCTTCAGGAGCCCATAAATGGGAACATTTTAACATTTTAACACAGACCATACATATAGAAATGTAACATTTATTTATTGAGATGATCAATGCTGCTCAATTTGATTTAATGGTTTCATCATACAAAGATTAAACAATTTAAAAATATTTAATTACCATAGCAACAATCTGATGTGTTTTTAATGAGAGCCACAAAAACTGTTTTGGTTTCTGAGCTTCATGGAAACTTTTTCAGATCTTCAGTGAAAAACTGTGACTAAGCAGACAAAGTATTTGATATGGTTTGATGGATCATGTAACCATAAAAATAACATAAATAAAGGAAACGTGATGTTTGGCTCTGAGACGAAGCTCCTTTACTGATGTTGCACATGTTTCAGTGACGCAGCAGCAGCTGCAGGAACAGAAGCTGCAGCAACAGAAGCTGCAGCAACAGAAGCTGCTGGTCAGATGTGTGCTAATGCTATCTCTCCCTCAGTAATGTTTATAACATTAAATACTTGTAACTGTTTATGTTGCATTACAATGTGATGTAATCTGTTACTAAGTTGATTTAAAGAGTTTGGGTTTAGTTCCAGTGAAACGTTTTTGCTTTTATGAAGTTTGTCTGAGATTTTCCCTCAAAATGTTTTTTAGGTCAGAGTAGAGGATCTGCCTGCATCAGGCCCGCTGGCTGAGTGTGTCAGATTATAGGTGTGAGCTAAAAACACACCGTTATCTGTTGTGGTTTATATTGCAGTGACATCAACACTGTAGCTGTTGTCCCTACAAACAGGATTTATTAGCATAAGAATCCGAGCTGCTTTTCTTGAGGCTCTCTGGGGACGATGCAGCAGGCAGCATCGTGCTGCAGCAGGCAGCATCGTGCTGCAGCAGACAGAGATCTTGGTAAAGTGCAGCTTGGTGAGCTGAACCTGTAGGAACCTCACTAAGACAATCAGCTGTTGGAGGTGAAACTGAACGTTGACAGACTGATGGTTTCCTTCATCTGCAGCTGATCCACAACAGCGACTGATGCAGGAGGAAAACATGCAATGATGCTGATGAACGCTGGGATAAACCCTGCATTGCTTCCTCTTCATATGCATATTGCATTAATTAACATTGGGACGATAATAGCAGACATAATTATACCTGCACTAAGCTTCCCCTAAACCAGAGCTTCTCAGTTCCAGTCCTCAGTCCTGCTCTGCTTGTTTTAGTGTCTCTATTTCAGAACAGCTGATCCAAATGACTGCATGACTTTTTCTGCAGTCATCAAGTCCTGCAGAACCTGTTAATCACCACAGATTCAATCCAGGCAGAAGAGGAACAACTAAAACATGCAGGGCAGGAGAAACACTGCCCTAAACTACTGTTCCTTGAATAAAGTCTGTCTGTGTTGCAGTTTTGGTTATTCATGCTCTTATTCTGAAGTGGCTAAAGAATGTGAAAGCAGTTCTTTTTACTGCCTAGACGTTTAGGGTTCAGAGCCGACAGCAGCGAGCGGACGGCCAATGAAAGGCTCATCGCTGCTCCTAGCACAGGAGTAGCAACTCCAGGCCTGGAGAGACTTCAGACGTCTCCCTGGTCCAACAGCTGATTCAAATACCTGAATCGCCTCCTAATGCAGTCAAGTTCTCCAGATTCCTGCTAATGACCCCATTATTTGACTCAGGTGTGTTGAAGGAGAAACATCTAAAGGTTGCAGGAGACCGGCTCTCCAGGCCTGGAGTTGACCAGCCCTGTGTTAGCAGATCAGGGAACCTGTTGTTTTTCCATTCGTGTTTCCATTTTCCTCATTTTTTTCTCCTCTAAAACTCATCCTGCAGCCGAACCTCCTGAAATTTATTGCAACTTTTATCTGTTATTCAGGTTCAGTGCCCACAACCACTCAGGTTCCCCAGTGCATCACAGGCCTGGCAGGCCACCATGCTTTACATGCCCTGCTGCCAGGCGAAGCTTTGTGTGTTTCTGCTTCTATTAAAAAGAAAAAACTATTTTTGTTTCAAAGATTTATTCTTTAATAAGCCTGACTGCAAGCATCTCTTCTGTGGAGAGCATTTTTACTGGCAGGGAGAATCATTCCTGACAGAAAGACGAGTTTTCTAGTTTTAACAGTGGATGCATTGAACAAGGACCAATCAGGTTGCTGCAGATCGTTTACAGGCTCAGCTCATCTCGGCTCAGCTTTATGGACATTAATATCATGAGGATGAGAATCCATGTGTCTTTGGAGAATTGATCAAGGAAGAAGTCAAGTTTAAGTCCACTGCTTTAGCTGTGGCTCAATGTGTAGCTCAATGTTCACAGTGAGCTGCTCTCAGAGTTCTCAGCTACATTTAGAGGTTTGTGTTGAGGTGAGAATGTGCAGCTGTGTGTTTGTGTCTCAACATGCTGACTCTGTGTTTCTGCTCTAAAGTCTCAGTTCCCGGTTAGCCGGTGCGTTATGGCCAGAACATTGATCGGTACTGATTTCCTTCATTTTGGGCGATCAATAATCGGCTGATTTTATCCACTGATGTCATCAACCTGAGCAAAGAGCTAAAAATCAACCAGTTTTCTTTTCTCTGTGATTTTTGACTGACAAATCAAACCTCCTGATCTGGTTCCTCCTCTTCCTCACTCATCACATTGACCTTTGACCTTATTATCAGCCAATAATCGCTATTGATCACCACCAATCATTTGATTGGAAAAATCCAACATTTATACCACTGACCTTTGACCTGCAGATGAACCCGTTTCATCAGCAGGGTGACTCGTTTCCTGACTCTGCAGGTGTAGATCCCGCTGTCTGCCACTGAGGGCGGTCCAGAGTCAGACTGAGGTCTTTAGTCTTCAGTGGTCGTCATCCATCCTGTTCTGCTGGTCAGGTTCTGTTCTTCAGGATCATCAGAACCGCTCGGATACACATGGACCGTCTTGTTCTCTCCGTCTCTCCACTCCACTCTGGCGCCACCTGGCAGGTAAATGTTGGTTCTGCAGGGCAGCAGGACAGATTTAACCCTGAATCCACCTGCACCTGTGGAGCTGAGAGACACAGAGGACAAGATGAGAGACAGAGACCCTTCCTTCTGTCCTTCTCTCTTTCCCTTCCTCCCTTGTATTTCTATCTTGGCCACTAGGGGCCGCAGCCATTTAGTGATAATGTTTAGTTCAGGAATCAGTGCAGATCAGTTGAAGTTGAGTTTGTTGGTAGTTTATGTGTAATTATGACCATCAGTCTATTTGTGTTTCAGAGAATAATGTTTGTATTTTATAACTTTAGACCAGTCGGGCCCCAAGTGGGTCCTGGAGGGCCGGTTGCATCCTGCAGGTTTTATTCTCTCCTGGTACCAACAACCTGTTCAGCAGGTCAATGTTCTCCTAATGAGCCTCATTGGATCCAGTTGGATTAAACCTGAGACTGAAACATGCAGGTTTGGGCCCTCAGGGGCCACTTTGGGCCCCACTGCTTTAGACATTTTCTGTTTGCTCATTTTGCCCAGAAGAAGCTGAGTTTTACTTTAAAGTGGTGAATTCTGTTGTGTTTAGTTTCTCTCTTTTACTTTTTAACTTTATCAATAACTAATGAAACATCCAAACTCCGCCCACTTCCACAGTCCTTCACTGACAGGAAGAGACTTTAAACCTGCTGCTAGTTTATAAATCACTGAACGATTAAAGATCTGCAGCTGCTGCATCAACCTGCTGGTTCTGGTTCTGCTCTGCATCCAGAACCAGAACCATGGAGAAGCAGCTTTCAGCTTCTATGCACCATAAATCTGGAACAAACTTCCAGAAAAGTGAAAAACAGCAGAAACACTGAGATCCTCTAACACAGTGGTTCTCAAATGGGGGTACGCGAACCCCTGGGGGTACGCGAACCCCTGGGGGTACGTGGAGGTACTGCAGGGGTACGTGAAGCTTTTCAAAATATCTTAAAAAAAAATCAGTCGGCTCCTCATAATAAGTCTTGGAAAAAATTATTTTGTAAAAAGTTGGATAAAATAAAATGTGTGTTCATGCACTGAATTTTATATTCAGTATTTAGTTTCAATATCCTTTAAAATAAAACGGACCCAGCGCACTGTTACCATTACTACGCTGTAACTATGGAGACTGGCTAAAGCCTAGCAGCAATGTTGATGAAAGTTCAGATAAAGTGAAAAAGAAGGCAAACCAGAGCCGAAGAAGTACAGAACATACATGGAAAAGTATGTTTTAATGGGATTTACGTCCACAATCTCTGACCCTCCAGGCACTGTGGGTTTTTTTACGGGGAGAAATTAGCCAACGCTAGCATGCAGCCGGCTAGCATGCAGCCGGCTAGCATGCAGCCGGCTAGCACCTTTCTGTACATATAAATCTGGAACAAACTTCCAGAAAACTGAAAAACAGCAGAAACACTGAGATCCTCTAACAGACTGTAGAGAAGCAGCAGCTGCTGGTTCTGGTTCTGTTCATGTTTCTGATGCTGCATTTGATCTGAACATGAATGAACACAAGGATCTGAACTGATGACAGGAACAAACTGTTGACCTCTGACCCCTAGGACAGGTCACATGATCTCTCTCACATTCTGGGTCAGAAACATTCAGACTCACCTGGCAGGAAAAAATCTTTAAAATGATATAAAAATCCTGCAGAGACGATGAGAACCAGAACCAGCAGAACCAGCAGAGCTGTGGCCCAGGATGGAAAGGGTTCTGTGGAAAACAGAGAAAGATTGACCTCACTCTGACCTTTGACCTTTACCAGCAGCTCTGACCTGATGCTCTGACCTTTCTGTACATATTTCAGAACCAGCGTGTGTCTCAGGACGTCCTGGTCTCTGTAGACGGTGCAGACGTAGCGTCCAGCGTCTCTGTGTGTGGGATTCCTCAGGGTCAGGCCGACGTCTCCGGTCCTCAGGAAATCTTGGTCCATCTCTGTTCGGTCGCGGTAAAATCCGTCCTGGTTTCTCTGGTTGCTGCTTGAGTGAACCATCATAAATTCTGGTTCTGAGCGGGTCCACTCCACTGATGTGTCCTCAGGAAGGCGGGACGATGTTGTGCAGGGCAGGACGACAGAATCTGACCCCTCAGTGACCTCGACCTCCTGCTGATCAGCTGAGAGGAAATAAAGAAGAAAATGATCAGAAACAGTTTGGATCATTTTCTGCTTTCATGACAGATTTAGTCTCATCACTGTCTCCATGGTTACAGACACTAGGATCAATTATTCATTTTCTCATTTCAACAAATTCATTCATTCATAGAACTTTAACATAGGTTGTGTGCTTGTTTATCTGACCTTTGACCTTCAGGTGAATCTGTTTCAGGTTCAGTTCTTCTCTTCCATTAGAGATGCTGCAGGTGTAGTTTCCTCCATCAATCTGCTCAGGTTTCCTCAGAGTCAGGCTGAAGTTTCCAGTGTCCAGAGCGTCAGGATTCATGGAGGTCCGGTTCCTGAAACGCTGGTTCTGGTTCTGAAGATCGTCGCCGTTTTCTCTCTGCAGGTGGACGGAGTTCGGACTGAGGTCACTGCGAGTCCAGATGAGTAACGGATTGTCTTCAGGTATTTGACCAGAGTAGATGCAGGGCAGCAGGACAGACTCCGCCCCCTCATTGACCTCCACCACTCCTCCCAGTGCATGCTGGGAAACTGAGGACACAAGATGAGGGTTTAGTGTAGAAATAATGATCAGTTCTTCACTAGAGATGAAAGATTTCAGTCTGTCTGCTAAACGGCTCAGTGATCCTGAACTCTGATCTGTTATGTAACATTAACTCACATTGAGCAAAAAGTCAGAAAACTGATAAAAGTGCATTAAAATAAATACATTTAAAACTGAAAGATGGAAACAGATGAAACTGAAAAAGCATGAATGTTTTCAGAGTTTCTGTTTATTAGCAGAAATCCTGCTGTCAGTTTTCAGCTTGTTTTATCTATTTGATAAGAAAGATTTTTGTTTTAGTATCTTGTGATTGTTGGGCAGATTTTGTTTCTGTGACTTTATAAAAAAATAAAATTCTTCTGACTTTATTTTTCTGGGTTTTCTGGTTCTGATTCTTTCTAGTTACAGAGTTTAAACCTTCCAGTAACTTTCAGTCACTTTCTGCTGTGAAACTGAAGCATTTTGTTGATCAAACAACAATTTGGACATTTCTAAAGAATCGCTGTTTGATCCAAAAACTCATCATTTCATTCTGAATATCATCCACAGATCAACCAGTAAACCAGAGAAGAACCGGACCCACCAGAACCTGGTTCTCCTTTAATGGTCAGACCAGCATCATGCATCAGCAGCAGAACATTATGACCACCAACCTGAGACTGAGGTGAATTCAGGAGAAATAAAGTACAACCAGCAGGCGGCCATCTTGGATTCAAATGAACATGAATGTAAAAACTGAAGGCAGGAAGGAAAAGCAGAACCTTCAACATCTGCAAACATTCATCACTGGTTTCTGGGAGCTTAAGTCCAGATTACTGGTCTGAATGGGTCTCAGTGGTTCTGAAGCTCATAGAACTACAACCTGATAGAAAACATCAGAACCAGATCAGCTGCTGAACCCAAACCAGAGAAATTGGATCCAGACAGAAAACGGCAAAGTGGAGCCACTGGTTGGATGGAAGAGACCAGAATCCAACCAGCAACAATAAACCAGTGAGATCTACTGGGAGGACTGGTGAGAGACAAGTCACTGGAACCAGAACCTGAGGTTCTGATCCAGAACCATCAACCAGCTGAGGTCACCAGGGGTCATTTAGAGAGAAGAACGGACCAGAACCCAGAAGCTCTGAGTCTGATCAGAAGCTTGCAGAGACTGGAGAGGATGAGGAGCAGAGAGGAAGATGATCTTACCAAGCAGGAGGATCATCATCATCATCATCATCATCTTCCTCTCAGAACAGAGAGTCGTCCATCGGATCCCAGCAGCGGATCACCTCTGACTCCAGATCACCGTTTCTACTGAACCAGCACACGCCTAAACTCCACTGCTGATTGTGGCTGATTCAGAGACGCTGCTGAACCGGTTCTGATCCAAGTTCCGAGGAAAGGCGGGCTTCAGTTTCCTCATTCAGCCATGGAGCTGTGAGGAGGTTAAAGTCAGGACCTTCAGTTTCCTCATAGTTTTGTTGAGTTTCATCATTTCTGTCTCTGTGATCCTCCAGGTCCGTTTACCGGTTTCAGGACCGACCAGAACCCTGAGAAATAATGACATTTGGTTTTATAAAAACAGGTTTTAATGCTGAAAATGATCAGGTGTTACAAGCCATAATGTGATCCAAACGGATCAGAACCAACTTTATCCTGGTGTTTTTATGGTGTTACTAACTCACCTGATCCTCCTTCACTACTGAACATAAACTTCTTTAACCTTTGTCTCTTTTAGCCTGGAGGCTTTAAGATGTTCAAATAGTTTGTCTCAAACGTTTCCAACAACAGTTAAAAACTTGCAGAGTTACAAACATGTTTTAACTTGATGCAGCCGTTCACTGGAAGATGTTTATGAGTTTCTGTCTCTGCTGTGCAGGAATGTTTCCTCCTTCCTCAGTTTGCTCATTTAGTTTTTTGTAAATTAAATGATTTGCTCTCTATTGGTGCCTGGTTCTGGTTCTGATCAGAAGATCTGGACAGATTGATGGTTTTCCAGCCTGTCGGCTCTGCAGCCTCCAGTTCTTCATCCACCAGTTCAACCAGTTTGAACATTTATTTATAACCTGAGAAATAAACAGAGGAAACGTTTTCATTACTGCAGATTAGTAGAAGATTAAAGGTAAAAAATAATGAACAACATTTAAAAATGAAATATTACTGTGTAAAAGTTTTAAAGACGTCAGTTTGTTTTGTTTTCTTTCCCTCCAAAGATTCAATTTTGGTGTAAAAACGTCTTTTGACTGTGATCAGCTTTACAGGAACATTATTATCTCCTCTGCATCTCCACTGTATTGATCCAGATATTAATCAATGATCTGGGCAGAAGAAAAAGATCCAGAAAGGAGGAAATAGTTTTTATCATCCAGTAACTTGTGGATGTTTGTTGTTAAAGTTTCAGTCAGTCGGATCCATTCAGTCGTCTTTCACTACATCAGGGGTTTTCAAAGTATGAAAGGATGAGCCCCCCTTCAAGGAGCACAATGCCTCCTGCGACCCCCCAATAATCAACCTACACACAAACAAATGCCACTACAAAACACCTAATAGCTTAGAACCATCTCATCTTTTAAAATGACATTTTATATGAATAAAAATTTAACATATGAACATTTTGAAACATTTTCTCCCATTTTAATTATTTTATCAGGGCCTTTGTATGGTAAATACGCCCTTTTTTCATTTTTCTAATGACAAGAACAACCCCAAACTGATTTTTCAACCGTTTTCTCAAACAAACATCTGAGCTTCTGAGTTTCATGTTAGAGATACCAACAGCGTTTTCACATCTTAACAAAAACATTTTGATCAGATCTTTGGAACACATCTGTAAATGTTGCACATTTCCTTAAAATTAAAAAATAAATCAAAAACTTAAACAGTTACAAAATTGTGGAGCTCTTTTTGTGGCTCATCTAAACAATTTAAACAAACAATTTATCTCGAGCTAAAAGAGCGTGCAGTATGAAAGAGCAGAGGCTTACAAAAGAACAAACATTCAGCACGCTATGCGCACCCCTTTTTTCTATCACGGTCCTGAATCATGTGTAACTCATTTTATGTATGATTTTAACTAAATTGGCAATATTACTGTTCAGCTCACCTTATTAATGCGGGGTTGCACTGTGGATCTCCAACCAGCAGCCTTGATCGGGATTTGTTTCTAATCATTGCGAGTGCGGAAAACCCACATTCGCAGAGATAGGTTGAAGTGAACGGGATGAGCACGTTTACTAAAAATTTGTCCGTTTTTTTCTCTCACACCAGTAGACAGCAAGCAGATAGCTTTGTCTTCGGTTTATTTTTTCCCTCGCACCGCGCCCCCCAGGGGAGGCGCGCCCCCAGGGGAGGCGCGCCTCACACTTTGAAAACCACCGCACTACATGACCGACTTCAGTTCCTGATCCTGTTTAAAATAGTTTTTGTTTACTTTTCTAAATAAAAACAAATGATTAATAAATTCCAAACATTTCAGAATAACTCAAGAACCCTGGCAGGAAGGTCAAAGGTCACCATAGACGTTAATTAGCATTAGCATTAGCTAACAACATTCAACTGCTGCACATTTAATTATCCTTTTAGCTCTGATGCTAAATTTTGGCCAGAAAGTTCATTTAAAAGAAAAAAAAATAAAATAAAAATAATAATAAAAAATAAAGACTCTGAAAAGTAGTTCTGAACATTTTTAAAGTTTAACATTTTCCTTAATGACCAAAATTTATTTTCAATTTCAAACTTTTTCAGTTTCTAATCTTTTTTATTTTTCATTTTTATTTTTGCTGTGGTTTGTTTTTTAAGATTTTAGTATAAATATCTTGTTGTTGAAGATATTTATACAAATTTATTATACTAAGAATATTTAAGATATATATGTAAAAATTATCTTTAAAGGTGAAATGGCCTTTTCCTTTTGTTTTGTATAGTTTTGTGTTTTATACAGCTTTTTTGTTAAATAATTTTATAAAAGTTGTTTTTGGTTTTGTTTAAACTGGACATAATTTAACAGGACAATGTTAGAATAAGACAGATGTGGCTTATTATGTCTCAAATATCTAAAATAATTATATCATGCCAGTTATTATTAGCGTTACTACTACTGTGTTATACTTTGTTGAGAATATTTTACTTTCATTTTTGTTAAAAATTGTGCTGAAAATAGAATATAATCTGTGAAATAATCTGGTTCCCTCTTCTATGAAGAACATGTGTAGTTCTGATAATTCACCTCCAGAGGGCAGTGAGCGCTCCTGATCAACACTAAGTCAACCAATCAGCTTCTTCATGGGACAAAATAAAATCCATATTTAGGAAACCCAGTCAGCAGAACCAGGATGTCGAACAGTTTCTCTGTGACTGAAAACTCAGCCGAGTTTCAGCAAATTAGAAAATTATTTCAATCTTATTTCACTATTTCTATTCATTTTCTCACAACATGGAGCTGAACAGAGCTGGATTTAACAGCCGCCCTGATCAGCTTTACCATCTGATCCATCTCAACTCCCAGAATGCACCAGGTTAACACTTCAACATGGCGGCACCGGGTCCAGTTGTGGTTCTGCCCTCTGACCTCTTGGCCTCCTCCGGCCTGCACAGGTAGAGATAGGCCAGGTTCTGGAGCCACAGTGATGCTGATCGGTGATACAAACTGGATTCTGATCCGAATCCTGAGACGGATTCAAGCTGCAGCTTCAACATCAGAACCAGATGAAGTTTCTTCTTCACTAAAGAACATTTCAGTTTGAGTCTCTGAATGAAGGAACTGATTTCATGAACACAAGAGAGTCAGAGGGAACCGGGTCAGAGTCAGAACTGAAACCGGGTCAGAAATGAAACCGGGTCAGAGATCGGCTGTTAATGTTATTAAAATAATTTTATGAATTGACAGTCATTTCAGTTTGAGATGAGTAAAATTTTATTTGCTGATCTTGAATAACGGTTTACTGTTTCAGAGAGAAAAACAACAAAAGTAAAATATATTATTTCAAATGAAAGCTAACAGAGGAAGCCGTTTTTATGGCTCTAATTGTGAAAGTACTCACCGGAAGTGAATGGTGTTTGAAACCGCTCTAACTTTATCAAGAAGCTGTAATTACCATCTGGGTCCAAAGAGGGCAGAATCCTCCCTGCTCTGGTATTAATAGTAGTTCATCATCATTCTGACTGTTTCCAGGATAATTTAACTTTTCATAAATATTTTCCTACCTTCGGACCGGAAACTCAGCATCTTAGCGTCTCATCCAGAATTGTAGAACTATGTTTCAGCTCTGTTAGAGCTGAAGCTCGTTTAGGAGCCACATCTCTGAAGCCGCTACTGGAGTTTGTTAGCTTCATTAGCTTCGCTCAGCGTCTCTGTTGCTGTTTTCATCTCTGTGGAGCCGCTTCTAGTTCACACCGACAGATAAAACATTGATTTCATCTTAAAATAGGAAGAAGAATTAAGAAATAACACAACAGAAACACCAAGAGAGCAATAAAGGCTTAATCAGCCGAGAAGGAGCGGGAAACTAGCTAATCACCAACCCAGTCTTCTGCTTCCTAGTGGACACAGAGTGTAACTACAAGGGTAAAGATGGAACGCTGACATGTGAATAGCACTTCCTTTGGATTCTTTCAAAGTAAAAGAACAGAAACTAAATTCTCCTTGAAGTAAAATTTAGCTTGTTAGTTTATTATATCATCAGAAAGCATAACTGTGTAATTTCTATAGGATGTGAAATAAATTATATAATTGGGATCTGAAGCCACTTTTTCTGTTTTCCAGAAAAAAAATTATATTTCATGAATATTCCCATAATATTAACAAAAAGCATAAGTGTGGAATTTAGTTAAGAGATATAGATGAGTTATCACTATGTAAATAACACATCTATATATCAAATCAACTGTCAGTCCATTAGACAGACCATAATAATATTAATATTTATAATGAAAATAATAGAAACATTATCAACTTAACAGAAAACAGAAACGGGGTATTTCCGCCCTCTGGTGGCCATAGTGGCAACTACAGTCCTGATAATGCAGCATTATTTACATTTAATATCCACTTAATGTGGAATTTGGAGAAAAACTAAAAGTCTACCTGAGTCATATCCACAGATTTCTGACTCGAATATTATTCTGACAATTTTTAATAAATTTTTTTGGAGTTACATATGCAATAAAAATTATACTTTATAGAATAAAGCTGCTGTGTTAAATTCTTACGGGGCGTTTTTTCTGGCCAGACTGAATAGAGTCCAGCAGTGAGTTTTTTGAGAATCAAAGACTCAAAAAGATAGAAATATTATGAAAAA